ATATGAGGGCTTTCTTGGGCCATGCACTGTGCAATGTATTCGGCCAATCCCGTATAACAATTTGAGGAACGAGATTAACCGGGTCGTGCTCTCAATCCAGAAGTCTCGGCATATGTCGGGGCTGTCTCAACAACCCCAGCCACTTCTGCAGGAGTACAAGATAACATTAATCGAATTCCCGTATGCCACATGCACCTTTTTGAACACTTGACTCTATTTAGAACATAGCACTAGCGTGATATAAGCTTGAGCACTAGTACTATCCCACTTTCGTAACATATCAATCACCAACTCGCAATGCCGATCAGTCTAGCCTCAACCGTCAAGCTCAACACTGGGGCAGAAATTCCAGTCGTCGGACTTGGTATGTAACGATTCGGTCGAGGGAACGATCGAGATGAGATCCTATTTGCAAAACACTTGTACTAAGTTTGAGACATCGTTCAGGTACCTGGAAAAGTGCACCAGGTCGAGTTGAGGAAGCCGTCGAATATGCCTTGAAGAAGGCAGGCTATAGGCACATCGATACAGCCACGGATTACGGGTGAGTTCCTGTCCTCGATTTCAACCGCAAGAGTGCCGCTAGGGCCGGACTTCGACCGTGACGTGCACCGATCTCACTCATTCCCAAATCACAGCAACGAGAAAGAAGTCGGTGAAGGTATCAAGGCCTCGGGAGTGCCGCGCGAATCTATCTTCGTCACCACCAAGCTTAAAAATGATGACCACGATAAAGTGGAGCAGGCGCTGGAATATTCATTAAAGCAACTCGACACTCCATATATTGACTTGTGGCTATTGCACTGGCCTGCACCAATGTTAAGCCCTACCGGGGACGGAAAGCCTAACAGGGACTTGGACTGGCTTGACACTTGGAAAGAGCTGGAGAGGGTTCACCTTGCTAACAAGGATAAAGTCAGGGCAATTGGAGTAAGTCGGATCATCATTAAAGGCCGACGCCAAATTTAATCCATTTGCTGCCTAGGTCTCTAATCTCTCTGTGCCTTTCCTCAAGCGACTCCTCAAGGAAGCCAAAGTCATCCCTGCTGTAAACCAAATTGAGCTCCACCCGTAAGCCGCTCCTACCCACATCCTCCCTGATTCTGAGTCCTATCCCCTATCAAATCCAGTTCCCTGCCTCAAAAGGAAGTCGTCAAGGTCACAGAAGAAGCTGGTATCCTGCTCACCTCCTACTCACCTCTCGGCTCCGACGAATCTCCACTCCTCACGGACGAAGTGATCGTCAAGATTGCAAAGAAATACAACGTCGAGCCCGCAGCTATCCTCGTTTCTTTCCAGGTCGCTCATCCAAACCGAACCGTCCTTCCAAAATCCGTCACTCCCTCGCGTATTTCGGCGAACGCTCAAATTGTCGAGCTTACCCCCGAAGAGTTCGCGGAGATTGATAAGATTGGCGAATCAAAGATTTTCCGAGTTTGTAATCCTACGTGGGCAGGATGGGGTGATCTCGGGTTTGACCTCAGCAGAGAAAAGGAGAGTGAGTAAGAGATGAAGCCTTTGGGAGGATATTCTCATCGATACACGGCTATTCGTGCATGTCATTGACTGCGGTCATTCATCCTATATATAATCGATATTCTGTCGTGGTACGGAGCATCGAACTACATACTCTTGATATTCATGAGATGCAAAATTGTAGCAGCAGCCATCTGCGGCCATAGGACTCGGAAAACACCGCATCCCGTCCGATCTGCGAAGTTAAGCCGAGTACCGCTTAGTTAGTACCATGGTAGGGGACTACATGGGAATCCTGAGTGCTGCAGTTTTCATTTTTGTTTTTTGTTCTCTTCCCCTCTCGTCTGATCTTCTTATCTTCAGACTTGATTCCCAAATTTTCGTTGGCTGACTCATACTATACCCTGGCCGGCCCACCGTGTTCTATATCACCTGGTCGCTCGTAGTTGTACAACTGTTTTGTGGCATTGTCACGCAAATGGTTCCTGGTATCTCACAAAGTTCAAAATATATACCATGCCTGTTGACTGGAGCCCAATTTACCATCCGAACGAAAACAGCAGAGGAATAGTGTCAACATGTCTATGTACGTTGAATCGATACAGTCAACCGCACACCAGATACGTACGATCTGATTCCCCGAACGCATATTAACCTGGCGAGTGTTTCCGCCTAGAGTTGTACGCTCTTCATCTAAATGAAGCTCTCCGCTCATTTGTCTTCGACTGATTTTTCCCGTACATACACATTATTTCACATCGTCTCCTGTTCTTGGGCGCTTCAGGGAAACAGAATTGTATGTTGGAGGCCCGCTTGGTCCACTCCTTCTCTACGGGTAGCTTAGACATTTAGGCCATCTGGACCATTTCCGCGAGTCATGGCGGGCAGCCAGCGCGCATGGTGAATCGAACCTTCTGTTTCCAAGCACGGGAAGGCATGAACAATCGATTCACTGGTCGATATCAAGAATTGAAGAAACCAATTCATTGTTCGCAGTCAACATCCGACGAACCCTGGATGACGGTAACGTCACCATTAAACCCTCGCGCATTGTCATATACGCAGACAACACGGGTGCACTGAATCGCGTTTTCCAGGGAAAACCACACAAAGCGCAGGAACTGGCCAGAGAATTCAGAAGGACAATCTGCAAAATCCTCACTGAGTTCGAGGATGTCAAAATCGCTCTACATTGGTGCCCAGGACACCTCGGCATCAGGGGCAACGAGAGAGCAGACCAACTAGCCAAAGACGGTGCCCGCCTCAGGCCAGCCCGCCCAAACTTCAAATCCCTCTCATACGTAGAAAGCCTACGCAAGAGAGAGATGGCTGAAGCCTGGACACACCGCTGGGTAAACACCCCGAATTCCCCGAGATCGGGCTTCTACGAAGCAAACCAACTCGCACCAAAGCTAAAACCCACCAAACGTTTCAGCAACCTCGACAGAAAGACATTCAGCCGAGTCCTACAATTCCGCACAGGACACGCCCACATCGGCGAATACTACCACCGATTCGGCATAACAACGGAGAGCAAAGGGTGCCAATGCGGCAAACCCACACAGACGAGGACCCACATTTTAGCGGAATGCCCCCGAGTGTACAGACACAGACACCTACTTGGACGCGGCAACCAGACCAGGTTCCACACCCTCGTAGGAAAAGTGAAAGGCATTGAAAGACTTGCGTCCTTCATCAAAAAGTCCAAAACAGGTGACAAACACCAGACCAACGGCCGCCACGCGAAGAGGAACACGACCCCAGGAACCCGGACAGCCGGGTAGACGAGAGACCACGAAAGCACAGAACGAAGCAACGGCGGAGGAGAGGAAGAGACGGGCGAGACGAACACAATAAATTATTTCCTTATTTTCTATTTCTTTTATCAACACCTCGACAATACCCACCGACACCACATAACCCGAGGATCACTGACACCAGACGATACCAACCAGACTACCCACACATCATGTATAGAAAGTCCCCTTTATGTACGCTACGGTGTATCGACGGGACAGCCGCACTGCCACGACATCACGAGGCCGCGGGGTATTAAGATAGATTTATCATCATCATCACCAATTCATTGTTTGCACAGCTCCCGCGCGGTCGACGTCTTACCTGTTATGGTCACTGGGGCCAGGCAGCTTCAGGTTTATACCTATGTCCCGCCACCAAGTGCTCCCTTCAACACACCTGCGCGATGTTCGAAAGGCTTGCGTCCCGTCGCTCTACTAGGTCACAACGCCCTCATGAGCCTCCTAATGATCGGCCGCAGGCCTCAATTCCTCAGATAACTCCTTCCGCGGCTACAAACGACGGAACGATTCACAGAAACGGTGATGGTTCTGCAGGCTCACATCCTGATACCCCTGTTACTACGGTGCCCTCTTTTAGCGGCACTTCACATGATGGCGCGAACCAACAAACGTCTCGTCAAGGGAGAATATTGTGGCCATTCTGGAGAAAGCCTAGCTCCAATCCCAATTGTCTTGATCAATCAAGTACGTCCCACGCCAAACATCCTACGCCGATGGCACCCGTACAAATATCGCCGAACGATCCACGGCCACCGCTGTCCCCCCTTCCGACCGAAGTGAATGTCGATTCTCCACGGGCGATGCGCGGCGCACGCGCCGCCCGTGGCACCAACACGAGCATCCGTACGCAGCAAGAACCCGCAGATATTGAATCAGTCCCGGCTACTTTAGCAGCGCCGGTGGAATCGGTACCCCGTGGGTCCGCAGGCGATCGGAAGGAAACGATCATCAGCGGTATCAAACTTATTCTCGAATCTGCGGCTATTGCTCTTAAGCCCGCCCCCATCGCTAATCTGGATCAGATCCCAAATACGCTTCTGACATGGATTCGAATCTATGAGGTTTGTGAATTGTCTTGATGGTCTTAATGATGATCGCGCATCGTAAAGGCTGTTGCATGATGTAGAATGTCAGCGGCAACACCGATGATCTCGACCAATTGTGTGTGGTGATTCAGCAAGCACAAGACTCGGTGCTCGAGCCCCTCCGGAAGTGGACTGGAGAGATTCCTCCTGAGCTGGAAAATCTAGTGCAGGAAACTTGCGTGTACGCATCTCGTCTTCCTCCCATTTATATTTGCTTATTCCCTCGTAGGGCTTTGAAAAAACAAGTTGAAGGCATTGAATCGATCCAGAAAAAAAATCTTTTCAAGAGGATCATTCAGGCGTCCGACATAACACAACAAATATCCAACATGAAGAACTGTCTAAATGATGCGATTCATCGATTCCAGGTTTGCATGCTTCAAGATTGCTTTTGAATATTTGAATTCTGACTAACAATGGACGCCATAGCTAAGAATATCGACTTTAACCCTACTTCGCACCGAGCGTTTATCAGTTCATTGTACGTATCGGTGTAATGAATTTTAAAACTGCCTAATCACCTTTATTCTTAGCCGAGCTTTCAAGACTCAGGCGAGCCCCTGCAGAGCACACTTGTGTGAAGAGCAAGTCAGAATGCCTTCCGGGCACGCGGGTCGAGATGCAAGAGTCCCTACTCAAGCACCTGAGGGAGGCCAAGAACCGATTTGTTTGGTTACGGGGCTCTCCCGGAACGGGGAAGACTGCGATCTCTATGAGTGTCGCATCCACTCTTGAGGAAATGGGTATTTTGGCAGCGTCGTTCTTTTGGGATAAGAACCGGACAGGAACAGGCTTGGATTCTATCGAACAGTTCCCCTCTACCCTTGCCCACCATCTAGCATCCTTCAACGAGGACTTCAAGTTCTCGCTTGTCAGACACCTTCGGAAACAGGCTTTAGCCTCAGTTCAGGATTTCCCTCTGGAAAAACAAATCAAGGCCCTGACGATTGAGCCGATGCGTGATGTGAAGAATGTATTGTCTCCGGACAAGGATCGCTTTGTCATCGTCTTGGATGGTCTCGATGAGTGCGGGGATCAGGAGACTCTTGAGTCTCTGATGAAGCTAGTGCTTTCCCTTCAGGAGCTACCGCCGGCTTTTGCTGTGCTAGTCAGTTGTCGTCCTGAGTCAGCAGTTATTTCAGCTTGGTCTAAAGCTCGAACCAAGGGTCATGTCATACCATGTGAAGATGTGGACAAGATTATAAAGGATGAAGCTTTCTACACGGTCCGCCGTATGGTGGAGGAAGGCCTTCAGGACCTCATTCACGAGTCTTCATGGGAACCAACAAGGTGGGAACTCGATGATTTTGCTCATGCCTGTCGTGGGTTACCTGTTATGGCGTCTATTCGGATTCGTGATGTCCGTCTGCAGACACGGCGTGGTCGCACCCTACAGTCGGTGTTCCAGGAGCTCCTCAATATCACTAATGCACCTGCCAACCTCAACGGGGAGTACTTGCGAATCCTTCGCCAAGCCTATATGCTGGATTCATCCGGAATTCACCTAGATGTAGCCAAGAAGTATCGCTTGGTGGTTGGCGCGATTGTCACAGTGCATTCCCCACTTAGCCTGTCTTTTATGTCGCAGCTTTTCAGAATTGTCGAGGATGAGCTTCGTGCGACATTGGAACCAATCAGCTCGATAATAGACCTTGCCTCAGAGAGCACAAGGGGTGTCTCATTCTATCATGCAACTGCGAAAGAATTTGTGACGGGGGATCCAATTGGTGATGAGAAGGACAAAGTGTTCTTCATCAATGACGCAAAAGGATATTTCCTTGGGTTGCCGATCCTTCGACTTTTCAATGATTGTTGTGAGCGGAATGTGTTTGGGATACCCACTGATCCCCCTTTAGGGGATAAAACAAAATGGAAGGAATTTATGGAGAAAAAGGACGGCCATTACATCCGCTTCTACTATATTATTAGATACTTACTCGAGCACCTGGACCCATCGCAACTTTTCTTGCAAGAGTCCACTGAATTGAAAAACGAGTTCAACACCTTCATTAAGCGGAACTTGTTAACTTTCACGCATTTGCGGGGCACAAATTGGGGAATTCCTGAAGAATTCCTTCAATTCAACGTAAGCACGAACCATTCTTGTTTGAATATCGACATCATGTCACCATTGATAGAATCATGATTCAATCCAACTCCTGGGAACTGTAAAAGAGGCATTTGGATCCAACTCACCTTGGGAATTCTATCGATCGATTCTCCCTTTCAACCAGTCCATCCTCCAACATTATGGCCATCTCTCTGATGTCCGGGTCTTCTCCATTCTTGACAAATTCTCTGGTGGCACCATCCCCTTAAGCGAGGATTTACTCAGGGCCCAAATGACCATGCGGGCAAAGCTGAGTGAACTAAGTACAGTGGTTGAAAATTGGGAAACTGTCAGAACTGATTACGAAATCGAGTTCTACGAACCTGATGTTCGTAATGGCATCGTGACTTGTGCCGCGCTCTCTCCTGATGGTCGGTATGTTGCGCTCGGGTTTGGCAGCGGTGTCATCGAAGTTGCCGATATCAACGATCAGCGTACGATCTGCCGGCTGCAGCGTGATCCAGACAAACCCCCCGCCTGGATCGAATTTGTCTACGACAGCCGCCAAGTCGTTGCGGAGGGTGAAGACTGGTCCGCACTTATGGGGCCTCGTACTTTTCCCACCAATTCTTATCCACCCCAACACGATCCCTATGACCGTCGTTACCCCAGCAAGAGGTTCATATTCAATTCGAAGGGCTCAAACATTCAGCTCCCTGCGCATCCTTATCTCACACTCATTCCCCTCTCTCGGGCATTCGCGCCCTCTCCAGGAGCTCAAAGTATCGGCACCTTCAATGATGGGATCCGCGTTGTCACCTGGTCAACGAGGTCCTGCAAGTTCATTGGGGCTTATCATGTGGAGAAGTCCCACTCTTGGATTATTGGTCCGAACGTCCCTCCAACTCGCTCATATCATACCCTTAAACCTGCATTCAATCCATCCACTAGCGACACATCTCGCGCGCATCACCCCGAGACGGACGCAGGACACGAACCCAAGGATGGGTTCTGGATCAAGTGTGCATTTTATGACCCTCCGTCACGCCCAGCAAAATGGCCTCCCAGCGTCTTCCCATCTACAGAAAAGACAGTCCCTCTAATCGATTCTTCATCAGTGTGGCTCAATGGTAGAGAAATACTCACGCTTCCAGGGGCCTATCGACCTACTGAATCTCGGGAACCCTGGTACGGTGATCGATTGCCGGCTGATGATAGAAAGTCCTACCCTAAGTCCAGCCGTATTGAGCCCCACCTTGACGAGTTCTACTACCTTCAGTCCCAAAGTCCTAAGTTCTACCGCCCTCAGTCCAGCAGAGATGGGACTCGATTTCTAATCCAGGGCAAGTCAAGAGCCCCAATTGTCGTCGATACTAGCCGAATTGTTTAGTATTTACCGATACGCCTATCATTGCTTTTCCATCACTCCTTTGGCTATACGCTTGATGGCCTTTGCATTCCAACGCTATGTAAAATTGCGGATAGTCGTCGGAATGTACCCTATGTGCTATACCCAATATTTCTGCAGCGTTAGAACGGCAGTGTATGGAACACTTTGGCAGCGACGATCTCTCACATCCTGAACAGTACAGTAGGTCGAGGCGTCAAAACTAACGGTGGAGCGGAGATCGGCTAGGAATGGTCCCAACCCGAATGCTGGTGTTCAATCTCCGATCCATTCCGGTCAACGTGGGCTCCCCTCGTACCCCGCTTACACCGGGAGCCCGTAAAGACCACCATCACGTTCAACCGACACAGTTTTAGCATCCAAGGCACAGCGGCTATTGGGCAAACCGTCACAGACCGTTTGTAGGGCTCAGGTTCTGTGTGGCCTAGAGTCCCAAGTATTCGGAGCAGGATGAGCCCGCGATTTTGATCTTCAAGGATGAACAAATGGACAAGGCTTTAGTAGATGAGACCTTGAATGAAGAGCTAGATAGTTGGGAAGACGATGTGCTATGTCGGTTGCGGGATGACGGTAGCCTTGTAGAAGAGGTGCCATATCCGATAAAGGAGGCTTGATTGAAGGCTCAATGCCTACATCATATCAAGCTGGGGAGATGCATGCATACACTACGGGTAAAACTATATTGCAACATTGTGGTATGAACACGGTTCTTGGTATCTTGCCAAGCTGAACGACTAGATATATACTGTGCCTTGATGGCCAAGAAAGGTCCAAGTTTCAATCCACTACCCGAGCGAAAGGAGGAGGGCGGGAAAAGTAACAGCTCGGGGAACAAGGGAGGAGAAATAGTGCCTCGATCAAGCGGCCATGGCTACTCCAAATTGGTACGACTGCTGCAGCACTATTATAACCTGATACACCAAGTTAGCCCTAGCTGTAGGGAGGGCTACATGAGCAGGATATCATATACAACGTATGCGGGCAGCGGCTAACGACGGAGTGGGATCGTTCCTGAGAGCTGCTAGGGATGGAGATATTTGAGTGTGAGGTGGGTGGCAAAGTGGGCAGATGTTGAGACTATTCAATCAGTGTTCTATCACGTAACCTAGATAATAGCAAGCTCCCCAATGTGTATCTGAGGTCATGCAAGTAGAACAACTTTTTCTTCGTCCGCGGCTAATAGCCGAGACCAGAATTGACTTTTAATGTGACACAGTTGTGCTTGCACATAAATCTGTGCTACGCAATGGAAGGCACAAGTCCGTCAAGATCGATGAACGCGATCATCCCTCCTAGTCCACCTAAACAAAGGTTGTTCCGAGATATTGCAACGGAAGAGCTAGGCTTGAAGTAGTCTGGAAGCCAACAGATGCGACAGGTGATACCTCCTTTGTTGATACAGAGAGAATTGCCATCAAGGTAAACAGGGTGTCGAGCAGGTTGAGAGAGAGACGGTGAAGTTGGGCTGCGGACTTCGTTCGAACTCAAAGTTTTTGTCTCACCTTGACCGCCGAACAAGATGCCATCAACAACGAATAAAGTCCTCAAAGGACGAAATGTCCTCACCAAATGCCAGTGGTCTCCGTCCTATGCACCGACCGCCAGCAGCGTCCCATGTACACACTGTGCCATCCTGAGAGGTCGAAGCCAGATGGTAGCCATCCCGTGAAAACTGCAGGGATGAGATCGAACCAGTATGTCCTTCCAGTCCTCGAAGGGGTGGTTTCGTCGCTATATCCCAAACACGCATGGTGTCGTCGCAGGAGGCCGAAGCTAGATGACGGCCATCCGGCGAAAATTGCACAGACCTGACCCGATCCGTGTGCCCCCTCAGTTCCTGAAGAAGTGCTCCCGTCTCCACACTCCAGATGCGTACCGTATGATCGCTGCTCGATGTCGCATAACATCCATCAGGTGAAAATTTTACGAACCTGATGAAACTCGTATGTCCATCCAGTATTCGAAGAGGTGCACCTGTCACCCTATCCCAGATTCGAACGGTGTGATCTCCAGAGGCCGTGGCCAGATAACGGCTGTCAGGCGAAAACTCCACGGACCAGATCGAATCGGTATGTCCCTTCAGTGTTAGAAGAGCCTCCCCCGTTGCCAGATCCCAGACACGAACGGTGTGATCCTCCGAGCCTGAAGCCAGATGACAGCCATCCGGTGAAAACGTAACGAACAGGATGGGACTAGTATGTCCCTTCAATATTCGAAGGAGTGTCCCTGTCGCTACATCCCAGATGCGCACATGGTGATCATCGGATGCCAGATGACTACCGTCTGGCGAAAAGGCGGCGGAGAAGACCGCAGCAGTATGGCCCCTGAATTCCAGAAAGAGATCTCCTGTCACCGCGTCCCAGACGCGCACGGTACGATCGTCCGAGGCCGAAGCTAGAAGGCCATTTGACGAAAATGTGACGGAGTTGACGGGACCAGTGTGTCCCTTTAACTCTTGAAGGAGTGCCCCAGTCACCGCATCCCAGAGATACACGGTGCCATCCGATGAAGATGAAGCCGAGGCCAAATGACGTCCATCTGGAGAAAACCCCACCGAAGACGTTCCACTTGT